CGAGGTGGTGTTACTGGCCTACGCGCTGTGGATCACCGAGATAGCCAACCCATACTTCATCCTGCAGCGGAGGAAGGGGCACGCCTGTGATGGAGGCGGCGGCGGCGGACTGGCGGGTAAGGACCCCGGCTGACCCCTGCAGCGCCGCCTGCGGCCCTGGGCTGCAGGCTCGGGAGACGCCGCCCGGTCCCCTGGGTCTGGGCGACCCGCTCTGCCTCGTGTGCCAGGCTTCGAGAGTTGGACAGAGATGCTTCTGTTTTGACTCTGTCAGGCTTTTGGGCCCTTAGCATACTGAGCGCTCCCTAAGTGGATGAAGTTGAGGAGAATGGAAAAGAGTGAGTCTGGGGTGGCGGGAGTATTATTTCCTATAAATTGAATGCAGCATTCCCTTTCCCTTCCCCTTCCCCCAACTTAAAAATATCGTTTTCCAAATGAAGAGGGATGGAAGAAGGTTAATTTTTACTCCGCTCTTTTTAGTGGCAACAGCAGGATCAGGTATAAAATGCTCTTTTGTTTCCAGAGAAGCGATCAGTAAGGAACTGATGTGGTCATTTCCTATATTAGTTATGACTGAAGAAAATGAATAAGGAAACAGGAATTCTTTTGTTTCACCTAATTAGACATAAAGCAAAGCAGGTTATCTGGTTCTAGTTGTAGAAATAATTGGCTGTATAACTGCATTTGAACTGTTTTTGCTCAATCACTTCTTCCCTAACCCCCCTCCCGGGGGTATTATTGTGATTGTTGTTGAAGCCGCGTCTTATCATTCAGGATGACAAGATCAGTCAGACCCATATCCAAAGAAGTGCCATAGCAGAAATAATCTTGAAGGCCTACCATACTAGAGAAATTGGACCTTTTCCCTCTCTGTGTTATTTAGAATGAACAGAACTGGAATACTTTTTACGGTGATAAAGTTAGCAGAAGAAATAGTAGAGGTTTCACCAGGAAGGAGACTGCAAAAAAAGAGATGAACTTTGACCTCTTCAGAGTAAGCATATATCAGTTTCATATATCACCTGGAATTTGCACACTAGATAAATTGTTGCTTTCAAATACTGTGCTATGGAATCAAAATTCTCGATATATGTATTTACTTATGACTATATTTATAAACTAATTTTATCAAGATAAAAAAAAAAAAGCATCATGCCAAGAATGAGACCAACATTTTTAAATGAATAACTGAGCTCCTTAATCTTCTTGATTTCACCAGGGCTGGGTGAAAACCTCACAACAGACTGCTACTAGACTGAGGACAGGACAAGGAAACTATAGCTCTGATAACTGTAAATGCTTCTTTTGTTTCCCTGTCTCTTTATATGGTTATCTTCTAGCTGCCTTCTATATGAGGGGGTCAGCAAACTACAGGCCATGGGCCAAATCCAGTCTGCCTTATAGTTTTGTAAATAAAGTTTTACTGGAGCTCAGTTATCCGTATTTGCTTACCTGTTATTTATGACTGTTTTCATACTTCAATGGCAGGGTTGAGTAGGAATGACAGAGACCACAAAAAAGCCCTGTACAGAAAAAGCTTCCAATCCCTGCTTTATACCATAACCAGAATGCCCTAATACTCCAATCTAATTGTGTGACTCCCAGCTCACAATTCTCCAATGAACCCCTACAGTAAACATTGCTGTCTCCCTATCCGATTCCCTACTCTGTGTTGCTGGAGAAACACACGTCTATTTGGATATTTATCAGGCCAATAGCCCTCCCAACTCCAAAGAAGAAATGATTATTCTAAGCTTATCACAGTAATTACATTTGCTTTCCCAGTGCCTGGCTTAGGAATGAGCATGTAGTAGCCAATAAAATGTTACAGGAAGTCCACTGCATGCTTCCCAGTCTTCTCTCTAATTGAAAGAAACATGTAAACAAAAGCCACCCTTTCAGCCTTCAGATATTGTCAGTAAGGGCATGATGTTTGGAGCTGCTGCTAATTAGCCAGCTATGAAAAGAGACATGAACAAAACACTGTGATGTCACTGAACACTCAAAACAACTCTGGTCCGTACTGTTTTAGCCACTGTTAGGTCTGGTATTTGCAGCCCAAAGCATTCCACCTGGTAAATTTCCCACGGCCTAGAGGAAAAGATCTACTCATTTCTACAGTATTAAAAAGTCTGGGCAGGGAGTGGTGGCTCATCTCTAATCCCAGCACTTGGGAGGCCAAGGGGGATGGATCACTTGAGGCGAGGAGTTCAAGACCAGCCTGTCCAACATGCCAATATCCTCTCTCTACTAAAAATATAAAAATTAGCTGGGCATGGTGGCTCACACCTGTAATCCCAGCTACTTGGGAGGCTGAGGCATGAGAATCACTTGAACCTGGGGGCCACCTCCCAGGTTCAGTGAGCTGAGAGAATGCCACTGCACTCCAGCTTGGATGACAGGGTGAGACTGTCTCAAAAAAAGAAAAAGATGTCTGTCGTAAGCTTGCCTTAGGTATTCACTGCATTCCCAACCATTCACATCTTACATGACTTGCACTAGCAAAACTGAACCGCTCATAAACCCTGCAAAGTTCATTCAAGCATTTGACTTTTGCACTTGCTGCTCCTTCTGCCAAACACACAATCTTGTTAGATGTTCCTTCTGCCCACATCATCCTTCTGCCTCTTTGCCTAGTAAAGTTCTACTTTCTCTGCATGCTTACCTTAAATCCTACCCACTGTTTTACAGCTTTCACTCCTCACCACATAAAGTGTTGGCACATATTTAACACAATAAATGATCATTATACGCTTCAGAGGGCATCTAGCCCACAGTAGTAGGCACTGAATAAATAATTCAGCAAATAAATAAAATGACAGTGATAACAAGCTCCTGGGTTTTTGTTTGTTTTTTTTTTTCCTTTTTTGAGACAGGGTCTTACTCTCTTACCCAGACAGGAGTGCAGTGGCATGATCATAGCTCACTGTAACCTCAAACACCCAGGCTCAAGAAATCCTCCCACCTCAGCCTCCCAAGTAGCTAGAAACACAAGCACCTATCACTGTGCCCAGCTCATGTTTTATTATTAAAAAAAAAATTTAGTAGCGATGAGGTCTTGTCATGTTGCCCAGGCTGGTCTCAAACTCCTGGGCTAAAGTGATCCTCTCATCTCACCCTCCCAAATTGCTGAGATTAGAGGCACACACCACTGAGCTGGTCCTGGCTATATTTTTAAATGTTTGTATTGTGTAACATTAGAAAAAAATGCTTAGTATCTAACAGACATTTGATAATTATTTGTTAAGTGGACAAGTGAATGATTTTCTTGAAAATTCTGTTGAAAAAAAAAAACACAGAAATTAAATAGAGAAAGTTCTATTATGACCACCTATGTCTAGTTCATGTTTGTCTCCAATAACTTGCAAAACCTAACTTATAGAAGTTCTTCGATTAATATATACTAAAATAAAGGTGTCCTCTTACAATTCAGATTGTCCAATGCATGAGGCATCACATCTCAGTAGCACAGTAGCATTCTTGTTATTGTGAAACATTTTTATACTTTTATTATAATTTGTTGAGCCTAGAGTTGGGCTACTTGAATATTTATTATGATAATCTTTTGGCTAATGGTAACAGGATATCTTGTGCTAACAAAATTCTTGTTATCATAACTAACCAGCAGGTAGAAGAACACATCTTGTTCTAATGAAGTAAATATACCTCATTCGATTTCAGATTAGGGGGAAAGTCAATAATAGTGAGACCTTGTTGGTTTATAAGTATGTAACATGACCTGTACTTCTCAACAAGGAATTGCTTTTCTGACTTCTGCACTCAGTAGATATCTTTAAAAATAATTTTCTATTAGTATGCACACTGGATATGTTTTGCAGGTTTTTTTCTTTTTTTGGAGACAGGGTCTCACTCTGTCATCTAGGTTGGATTGGAGTGCAGTGGCATGATCACAATCATAGTTCACTGCGGCCTCGACTCCCAGGCTCAAGTGATCCTCCCATCTCAGCCTCTCAAGTAGCTGGGATTACAGGTGTGCACCAAAACACCCAGCTAATTTTTTACTTGCTTTTGTAGAGATGTGGTCTCACTATGTTGCCCAGGCTGGTCTGGAGCTTCCCGATGCAAGCAATCCTCCCGCCTAGGCCTCCCAATGTATGGGACTACAGCTGTGGGCCAGCACACCTGGCCGTTTTGCAGTTCTTATTGCTATTTGTTTATGGTGCCAGAAAGGCATTGTTGATTTTCCAGTTTTGAAACTACTTTGTGTTACTTTAGTGACACTTTATAGGCAAATTTTCTCCCACCTCAGATAGCAAAGACCAATCATTCTCCTCCTCCTTAGCCTACTCAACTTGAAGACTATGATTAAGAGTTATATAATGATCCACTTGCATTTAATGAATAGTAAACTTACTTTTTCTTATCATTTTCTTAATAACAGTTTATTTCTCTAGCTTCCTTTATTGTAAGAATACAGCATATTAATACATACACCACACCAAACACAGCTTAATTGACTGTTTATGTTATCAATAAGCTGCTGGTCACCTTCTTGGGGGAGTCAAAAGTTATACACAGATTTCTGAATGCAGAGGGGATCGAGCATCCCTAAATCCCATGTTATTAAGGGTCGACTGTGATTGATATTCATTTACTAAACACAAGCCATTTATTTAAAACATTAAGTAGAAGTTCCAATTTAATAACAAGTCTAATTCATTATAATGTGACCATAAAGAAAACATACAACTTACTAACTTAAAAATATCTTTTTCTTATTTATACAAATATAGCATATAGGATTTTAGGGACCATAATTAATTTTTTTTCAGACAAGATTGTTTGAGATAATAAATCACCTGCAATTAACTTTTTAAATAATTGTGAAATCTAACCTACCAAGAAAGAAATTAAGAGAAAAATATACAAGCAACTTACACACACAGGGCTTTTAAAAAACTGCTTTTCATGATCAAAACTTCCTTACTCTTACTTTTTTATCTATAGGACAACCAAAAATAATTCACTATCAGAAGTCTTACCTTGATTGTTATTTTGAGGAAGACTTTCAGGTGTCTGTTTTTCCTTATATTCAGCAATTAGTTGCTGAATGCTATAGATAAAAATGTAATAAATGAAATTACTGTTTTAAAACAAATGAAAAATACCAAATATATTAAATTTTTAGAGTATTTCAAACAATATCAGAGTTAATATCAGAACTTTATCCTATATACTAATTTGCGAGTTCTACCAACTTTTCTTTAAGCTTTTAAAGAAAAAAAACAGATGAAGTACTCCTAAATTGAAGGGAGTATAGCTCAGTATAAATTAACTCACATTCGCTTGACATAATGGAAAGTGTCCTAGCTCTATTACCAGAAGCTACTTGTTCTCTGACAAGTCGCTTCTCTTAGGCTCAATGTATTCTTCTAAAAAGCAAGGATTTTACTGGCTTATTTCACTAGGTTGTTAAAGATTTAATGAAATAATGTTTTGAAAATGCTCAAATAAACAGTGAAGCAATAAAATAATTTGTTCTTGAACTTAATTGCTAAAACTATTTCCCAATGTGTATTTTTTCAGAGGATCTAAAATTCCCATTGCAGTTTTCTGAAACTGTTATTAAGTCCTAGTTTTGCTTATCAGTTGTTCCATTCTTTGTGGCTTATAATTCAGGGCATCACAACTATTTAATAGTTTGTAACTAAATTTTTTTTTTTTTTTTTTTGAGACGGAGTTTCGCTCTTGTTACCCAGGCTGGAGTGCAATGGCGCAATCTCGGCTCACTGCAACCTCCGCCTCCTGGGTTCAGGCAATTCTCCTGCCTCAGCCTCCTGAGTAGCTGGGATTACAGGCACATGCCACCGTGCCCAGCTAATTTTTTGTATTTTTAGTAGAGACGGGGTTTCACCATGTTGACCAGGATGGTCTCGATCTCTTGACCTCGTGATTTACCCGCCTCGGCCTCCCAAAGTGCTGGGATTACAGGCATGAGCCACTGCACCTAGCCTAAATTTTCTTATAAATATATTATTTCATCAAACTAGATAACATCCCTGTCCACTATGACTGAACTCATCAATCACACTAAGGGCAGAAAGCTAACAGATGTCAAGACCTAGCTTGGCCAGACTCAAACTCTGAATTGGCAGATCTTTGTTAGAATGATGCTCAATCCCCATGTTAACCTCCAACTGACATGGAAAACAAAATTCTACTTTTATTTTTTCAGTTCCACGAAAGAGATGCAAGTTGACATTCTCTCATTTCTGTGATACATACTAACAATATATTTGCACACACATCCCACATGTTACTCAGCTTGATTCTCATTCCATAGACCACCTTATTTCATATTTTGTAGTGAAAAATCACAATTTTAATATTAGGTTACACCCAATTTGCTTTAACTCACACCGTTTCTTTGGAGCTAGTCAGCAAATAGTCAAATGAACTTCCAGTGATGGTGCAAAATATGGACCACTTCACAGATCTGTGCATCATCCTTATGCAGGGGCCATGCTAATTTTCTCTGCATTTTGTTTTGATTTTAGTATATGTTTGCTGCTGAAGCAAGTACAAAACTCTCCTTTTATACATGGATACTCATGAGTCATGAATGAGGCTTAGCTCTGTTAAATCCAACTAACATACTTGAGACTCCGAATTCTGGTGATGGCTTCCTGCCACAACTCTTGGGAAGGATAATATGGGACCTTCCACAATCTAAGAAAAGGTACTATACTGGATATACAGGGCCCTCAGTGTACAGATCTGGTAGCAATGAAAAAAGGAAACTCATCTCTTTCTGCAACATTATTTGAACTGAACCCGAGGGCCTAAAGGGTAACTTAACATAAAGGTCTTGGCTAAGTCTAAGCTAAGATGTTGGCTCCACCTAGGTTCTGAGTGAGGGGTGAAGGGTCAGTTGGCTCATTATGTGTGTGGATAATGCTAGGAGGCTCAGCTGCCAGAGCAGGATGCTGGGAACAATGCCTCAGCATATAAACATATGTATGTGAAGCAAAAAAAGTTTAACTTTGAAATCTATGTATGGATCACCATGAAGACTTGAGGGCATCCTGGTGGCAAAGGTCAACCATTACTGGACTGCAGGACCAGTTTCAATGCAATGACACAGCAACAGAAACAACAGCGGAAACAACAGGATGATTACAGTGAACTTTTTCTTCCCTCCTTCTGACTTGCAAAAGAGGGCTGTCCTCTGAAACTTAAAGAACCCCATAGGTTCTGAAAAAATTCAAGGAAGAGGGTAGAGGAGACAGTTCCCAGAAGACAGTACAAAATTTTCTGCTAAACTGGACATTTCAAGACCCAAATACCTAATTAGAAAACCCTAAGCTGTGACACTATTTTTTATCTCATGCATAGGGGTTACACTTGGAATGAAATGGACAATGCTGGGATCCCTAAGGATAAAGGTCTTAAAAGTCCTGAGATAAAGAAGCCTGTACCCTTTGCTACTTTTAACTAGTTTGGCCTTTTGCTGGATTTCAGGCTAATGACGTGGACTGATTCATTGCCACTCCAAAACTACCTGAACCAAACTATAAAATCTCACCTGATGTATACAATGCAATTATTATAATTATTTTAAACCTCAATTTGGTGTTAACTAGCCTTTTAATGTAAACACTTACCCAGTAAACCGATTAAAAATTGCATAGTCTTCCGCAGTCCTCCCAAACATATCTTGAGAAAAGATGTCAATTTTTTGCTGCAGAAGAAGGCTAACTATGTTTGCTGATCCACATTGCACGGCGAGAATGAGGGCTGTTCTAAAATGACAGAGCGATAACTTCTCCCTTAGGAACTGTAAAAAGCTATTTAAAAAGCTTATTCAATATACTTTACCAACTTCATAGTTTGCCCATCCATGTAGAATTAAACATTTACTTGTACTAACAGACACTAGCATCTTGAGTGCTCAAGTGTTCATCTTTGTAAATACCACCAAGGCTAAAAGGAAGGGACAAAGAGGAAGTCTCTTGTCCCAATGGGGTATGTCACAGTAGAAGTTACTAACTTGCAGTCCCCTGATGAGCAAGAAACTATGCTGAGGTCACTTATCTAAAGTAGGCAAAGATTTAAGTGAAGATTTCACCACTGCTTCCCTAGCCTGATAGGCTGTGATTCAAAATCAGCCAGGGGTCAGATAAGAGAGCTATCTGCAGGCTGAAAAACAAAAATATCAATAAAAATGGTAATATTAGTAGTCACAGTGGTTTCAGTTACTGATACTGATAGGCATGTGCTAGGCACTGAATTAAATGCTGCACACACAATCTTTCTTACATACACAACCCTGGAAGGATATATTAGTATCCTCTTTTTAATACAGAAAAACATATTTGGTGATGAGTAATGTTCCCAAGGTCACACACCTACAAATGGGAAAGCTAGAAATTTAAACTCAGTTTTGTGTGAATCTGAAGCCTAACTCTTTTCTCTTTATCATCCACCTATAAGTTGTCTTCGTGAAAGAAAAAGTTTATCCACTGAAAACTGTATTTTCTCCCTCTGTCCATACCAATTTAAAAAACATCAAAATATATTAGAAGTGAAAAAGGAAACCCACATATCTGGTAATGGCAATTAACAGTCATGTAGAGATAATCTAACATTAATATTCTTCAAAGGAATAAAGCAAAGAGTTATCCAAAAGACAGAATTATTTTTAACTCTATTCATGTTTACTTAACATAGCATGTTTAAAAGAAAATCATGTAAGGAGAGATTAAAAACTACAATAAAAGGGTTAAGAAATTCAGTATCGAGTCATAAAGTAAAAATTATAAAGTCCACACTCCATAAAACTAATAAATAGGAGACCTCTGTAGCTAATACAAGATCATATGACCCAAAATATTAAATTACAAACACCAGTCAGTATAAGAAGAGAAGATGAATCCCACTATACACTGTTCATGTCGCCCAGTCCAAATAGTTTTCCACCAGATGATTTGTGTTTATATTTTTTACTATATCCCAATAATTTTATTAATCTTTTTATTAATTTAATATTTCTGACTTGACTGTTTTCACTCCAGAACAACACTGGGGGTTTAAAAAAGAACATACCTTTGACACTTATCAACTGCAAGTAAATTTGCTCCTCTCTCCAGTAAAAGTTCTACCATTTGCTGTCTTTTTAGGCTTATGGCAAATAGAAGTGGTGTGAGGTCATCCTGTAATACACCAACAACAATTTACAATTCACAAAATTCTTATTTCTCAATGGACTGGCAACCTCACATAAGATCCTATAGACTTAAATGTATAACACAGAAAGTAAATTAAAAATAGCCTCTTCCTTCTCACTCCTCTGTGTTTTCCCATCTGCTGCTCCTTCCCTTAGAGGCCACCCTCCTCTGCCTCACCACATCAACTCTAATCTCCAAAACTCCCTTCAAATATTACTGGTTCCAAAAATCTTTGCTTCTATCACAGCATTTAGCATGGAATATTGGAATGGTGGTATTGCTTCCCATGTAAACAAGAGCTTCTTGGAGGGCAGGCTCTTTATCACTATATATGTCTCTGTATTTATCTCCATATTTCCAATCCCTGAGACATACCAGTAAATGCTTCGAGTATTTTTACTAAATTAATGATCTAACGTGTTTGCCTTTAGATCAGTGTTTCTTAAACTTCATTCCAAAGAATATTTACTTTACCAGAAGTTATAGACTGTACCCCAACAGGAAGATTCCATGATCATCTACATTTGGGAAATATTATTAAACATCACATTATATATCCAGTATTCAAGAAATCTCTTGAATTTTGCCTAATTCCTATTTGGCAATACTTTTCTTTGTGGCAAACGTTAACATTTGAGGATTTAGAGTTTCGGGAATACAGTGGTGAGAGCGTTCCAGTAAAGGTGGGTGTTTCCTCCAGGTTATACAAACTTGCTTAATTCTCTTCTATCAATGGTGTCAGGATCCCAGATGCCCAATGTCAGTGCCCAGCATCAGGCCCTTCTACTACAAATGGGTCACTAAGAAAATGGTCTGTGAATTACAGAAATCAGCTTCAAATGAACTTCCATTGCTTATTAATAAAAGACTCACGGGTTTTCTCCTACTACAAGAAGAGAGATTTTTATCTTAGATGTCAGAAAGCACAGTATAAAATTCTGTTCTTAATTATAATCCTAAGGCCCTAATGCACATCTACTGTTAAAATTCTTTGTTAATTTTGTTTCCATATTTATTGCCTCTTAAAACTATCTTTCATTTTAGGCAAAATGCAAATCAGAAATACAAATACAATGGCTTATCAATAAAACTATCTAATACCGATCTATCTGGATTGTTTCTATAATAATGAAAGCCACTAAGTCACCTGCATTTCTAAGGGACAATGCTGAGGAGAAAAATGTAATTTTTTTTGCAATATGAATAGCCCAGCCACCTATAGCCAGGAATAACCCAAACAGGCTTACAGGCATGCTAATGGGAAGGCGACTCTTTGTGGTAGCTATAAGGCAAAAGAGTTTTTAAAAAACAACTTCCACACCCTAAAGTTCAACCCCATTGCTAAGGGATATCTATAAAATATAGACTATATGTTATAAACAAATATAAACTATTTTGAAAAACTTCAAATTTTTATCAAAATATGCCATGACAGGAGCCGTAAACTCAAATCTTACCAAGGCAAAGGAAGTGACCTGAGTGAGTACCTAGGTGGGCGCAGCAGCAAACCAGAGAACATATACCTCATACAAAGGGGCAACCTAGTCGCAGCACACCGAACAGTGACATGGGCTCAAGGGACAACAGGCTTGATTCTTAAAGAGAAGCCTGAAATCCAGATTTGTGCATGAGTCTCCTAAATTTTACACATTGACACAATTTGTGGAGGCAAATTAAACATATCTGTGGTCCACATTTTGACTACAGCCCTTGTGTTTTTATACTTGTTATAGACGTGTTTCAAAATGGTTGTGTGTAAAGTATTTACATGTAAAATAGTTCCTTTAATTTCAGATGTTTTACCAAAACAAATCAGCCCCCAACATGTAATAAAAATTGCTATTAAAACTCACAGTTGCTCACACCTGCAAGTCCAGCACTCTGGGAGGCCAAGGCAAGAGGATCACGTGAACCCAGGAGTCTGAGACCAGCCTGAGCAACTCAGTGAGACCCTGTTTCTTCAAAATTAAAAAAGAAAAAAAAAAAAATGCTCACAGGCTCAAAATACTCACACTGCAAGAATTTTTCCAATATTTATTCAATTAAAATCTACTTGTATTTATTTTTCCTAGATTGTTAACCAAATGGATAATTAGTCCACATGACTGCTGAAACTAAATTATTAAAAGAATCAATATTTGTACTCTTACTAATTTCATGGTTTTCAGTGCTTAAAACTGTCATCTTGATTATTTCAAAACTCTGTGAACTTGAACAGAGATACTGAGATAGTCCATAACAGAGCTTCAATTAAAAAAAAAAAAAGGCTGAGTGTTTGCCAGCTCTAATCGAGAAAACTCTGCTTGTAATAAAGATTAAGCTGTTTGTAATAAACAATAATCACCTGGATGATAACAAAGACAAAATCCTAAAGCAGTCAGCCTCTGCTTACTGAAGGGCTATGATGTTGGGAAGGAAAAGATATTCTGTAAGCTGAGAGATATTACCAATAATATTCCTTTTAACTTCCCAACCCAGAGGTAAAGAAAGATAAAGTCAGGATAATAGTATTGAAAAGAGACAGATTTCAAGGAAGTAGCACTATCAAATTCCAACTCCTCTAGAGACTTCTTAAGTTTCTGAGAATGGGCATTTACATATTACACCTATCTATTCACTGGCTCTTAACCAGGACTGTATCTGAAGTTTTAGGAATTTACTGCTGTTCTTAGAGACAGGGTCTCACTATGTTGCCCAGGCTAGACTCAAACTCTGGGGCTCAAGCAGTCCTCCCAATTCAGTCTCCCAACTAGCAGGGACTTCAGCCAAGTACCACTACACCTGGCTTCAAGGAAATATTTTAAAACATAAACTTGTTCAGGCTTCATTAGACTTATTATATCAAAAGTATTCAGGGAAGAGCTTAGACTTGTAGATTTGTTTTAATTTCCTCAGGTTACTGTGATGCACAATTCTAGCTGAGAACTAGAACAACAATTACTTCAGTCTCCTCTCTCACCCACATGACCAGTTCCCTTTATCATTTGAGGATTTTGTCAAAAAGGGGAAAGAATAAGAGACAGTCATTTACTAAAAACTCCATTTAGTTTTCCTAGGTAGGAGTAGCACAGGGACTAGTAAACTCAAAATCCAACTTGATTTTGCTATTTCTAAACTCCGCCTCGCCCACCTTCCCGTCAGGGCGTTCTAGATTTGAGGGCTGAGTGCAGACGCTTATCTAAGTGGCTGTTTCCTACTCATCACCACCGAGTCACAGCTAATCGTGTTTCCTCAGAGTCCTCCTAGATTGGCAAGTTCACAACCCACTCTCTTCCAAACTGAAAACGATGATCCGATTATCCCCAAAACTGAAGAAAACCTTGTCTAAACATATAAACTAGAAAAAAAGAAATAGTAATAACAACAACAAAACACATTAAAAAAAAGGTCGCCTTGGCATTTTCCCTCAATTACTTAACCTCCAAGCTGGCCTCCATATTTCTGGCTTTTTTTGCCCTTTCCATTTTGCCCTCCTAAGCTTTGCCACTGAGAGCTAAACTGCTTGAATGTTTTTTTTTTTTTTAGAACCTGTCAATAGCAGCAAGATTTCTATTTATTGAAAAATGTTTTTTCTTGGAGTTTTAAGATAAAGTCTATTTCCAGGGCAAATTTTGCTTTTCACAGATTAGAAAAAACAAAATAGGAAAGAAAAAAAAATTTTAACTTTTACAAATTCAGTGTTTTCAAAAATATTTACCACCTGTGCATGAAAGAAAGCTGTGCCCTCTCCTGCTGCTTTAAAAGTATCAAGATTTGAAATATTAGATAATTATTTCAAAATATTCTCATTCAGGGGGTTCTTGAGCTTCCAAATATGGAAAACTGACAGCTACATATGTCAGTGTTAAAACAAATGCATTTCGAATAGTTTGAAAATAAAGTTGGTTGGTCTATACCTCATTGTTTGCCTCCATATTTGTACTGTATAAAAGCAGTTTTTCTGCCAGTGATTCGTCTTCATTATGCACAGCATAGTGCAGAGCGGTGTTGCCGTAGATATCTGGAAGGTCTGGATCAGCACCCCGTTCCAGCAAAATAGTTGCGCATTCCTCTTTTTTGCATTGTACGGCCTGTCATTATTAGACCAAGAAATAGATTACAAATGCTAGGAATTCAAAATAGAGGTTTTGCTAATGAGTTACATTTAAATGAGATGAATTCATTTTTATTCTGTTGAGAAATGTGAAGTTCATGAATATTGGTGAATGCTAAGTGTATGATAGAATATATTGTTTGCTAGGAAGAACAATGGCAAGGAAAACCTAGCAGCTCCCCGCCCCCCCCTCCCCCGCAGTAGAAAACCACTTGGGGCATTCCAAAGTGGCAGGACAATATGTAAATATCATACACCTGTTAAAACAATTCTTTAAGCTATCTGACCCTGCCCCAGTGGCTCCCTCATGGAGAATACATTTTAGGTTGTTTGATCAGTGGTAAGCGGGCACCAGCTGCCTACTTGGTGTGTTTTGTGTTATGAGAAAATACTGAACACCTGTTTGTTAATAATGATCACCTGTTCAGAGAGATTAAATTGCGTGGGTCAGAGTCTCCCTGGGGCCTTCAGCCTGGAATGCTGTCAGCCCCTGAGCCTCTCAGTTTGGAAGGCTGCTGGCCCCCACAGATAGACCCACTTTGCTGTTCTATCTGGGCGTCTGCCTCTCATTTCCTTCAGTGCTGCCTGGGTGGGAGTCTCTATGGCCGAGCTGGTTCTCAGTAATTCCACGTAATCAGATCCATCTCATGCTGAAATACTTGGTCACTATATACCTTTATCAGAGCTGTCCTCTTATTGCTGTCAAAACAATTAAGTTGACATTTTCTGTCCACCAGGAGAGCTACCACTGCTGGATGTCCACAGGCACATGCGAAATGCAGAGCCGTCCTATGACAGTAAAAACGCTTTTTAGGAAATTGTACTGTACTATCTGAAAACATACAATGATTCACATATATCCATAGCACTGGATAGAATGTTAGTCCTCTGTCTTTAAAACAAGTATTTAATTTTCCTGAGAAGAAAGCACAGTATTTACCAGCTCTTATTATTCACTACGTTAATGAAATGTAGCTTATTTGAATAGAAAATGCTTCGCCTCTGGATTCAGTTCACCTCGAGGTGAAATCCTACTTTAAGATCTGTCACTTCCTGTTGGCCTTTTTGGGCCTCAGTTTCCTAATCAATAAAATGGGAATTAAAATAGCAGCGGTCCACAGTGATGTTCTGGGCATCACTGTGATGCTTAAAAGAGAATCTGTGCAAAGCATTTAGAACAGTTCCTAGCACAAATAGCCGCCCCAGTAACTGTTAGATATTATAATTTTTATAATACTACTACTTAACAACATAAACAATTTGATTAAGTAAAATAATACGATTACACACACTTCTGAGGTATGTTTAAAGATTAAAAGTAACACTGTATTATCATTCGAAGATGTTCCTTTTCTCACATTTTAACAACTCTGACATTGGGATTCTCCTTGCAATTCATAATTTATCACAACTATAATTGGCAGCATCTAAATAATTCTTACTGACACATAAAATAATGGGCATCAGGCTGGGCGCGGTGGCTCACGTCTGTAATCCCAGAATTTTGGAAGGCCGAGGAAGGCGGATCACGAGGTCAAGAGATCGAGACCATCCTGGTCAACATGGTGAAACCCCGTCTCTACCAAAAATACAAAAAATTAGCTGGGCATGGTGGTGCACGCCTGTAGTCCCAGCTATTTGGGAGGCTGACGCAGGAGAATTGCCTAAACCCAGGAGGCGGAGGTTGCGGTGAGCCGAGATCTTGCCATTGCACTCCAGCCTGGGTAACAAGAGCAAAATTCCATCTAAAAATAATAATAATAATAATAATAATAATAGGCATCAAACAATCCACGGTGCCTTACGTTAAGTAGAATATGGTGTATACAACAGGTCCAGAGCAGTTGGGCAGTTCTAATCATATGATTGGTGTTTAAGTACATTTTAGTTCTTAAAAGCACTATGGAATAAAGAGGGCTGAGATTAAAAAGCATAACAAATTTTTAAAACAAAATAATTCTTACTTTGATTTTCAAAAAAACTTTAAGCCAAAGGAAGAAACTCAGGGTTCAAATGAACAGACATGGCTCATTTTATTCGATACTTAGATTTATATAATGCATGTAAATCAGGCATTCCCAATGATTAATATTAGTACATAAGACTGTTATATATTTTCAAAAGGGCAGTTAAAGTTTACCTTTTACTATTTTCTACCTCCAGAAATGCTTTTCTTTGAAAGGGGGGAGAAAAAGCTTCCATTGAGATCAAGTCCTAATACTCCAATTTTAAATCTCTCAGGCTTACTCAGGCTGGGCAGCTAAATATGAAGTTTTTCAGGACGGAAGAAACCTGAGCGGTATAATATGTATAATAGCTATTCAGCTTGTGTTTGACGAATACATTGATTAAATGGACAAACATAGTTGAGAAGTGTAATATTTTTAAAGAAAACTCCTGTAAAGTAGAGCAACACTTTTTTTTTTTTTCCCAGAGAGTTTCGCTCTTGTTACCCAGGCTGGAGTGCAATGGCACGATCTCACCTGGCCGCAACCTCCGCCTCCTGGGTTCAGGCAATTCTCCTGCCTCAGCTTCCTTGAGTAGCTGGGATTACAGGCACGCGCCACCGTACCCAGCTAATTTTTTGTATTTTTAGTAGAGACGGGGTTTCACCTTGTTGACCAGGATGGTCTCGATCTCTTGACCTCGTGATCCGCCCGTCTCGGCCTCCCAAAGTGCTGGGATTACAGGCGTGAGCCACCGCGCCCGGCCTGCAACACTTCTGCAATAGTAATAACCATTTATATTTGCTCCTGGCTCACGGAGAGGCCTGGGCCCCCGACCCTTCCAAGGTTCCCCCATCCGGGGTGCCATGGAGCCTGTGGGCACCAGAAAGCCCGGGTCCCCGACAGGACCGCCTCCTTCGCCTGGCCATTACCTATTCTCATTGTCCCTCTCGTCCACGCCAGGGCCTCCGGGCACCAGGACGCGCTCCAGCCCGGGGACGTCACCCCGCCAGGCAGCTCTGTGGAGCTCCTCGAGATCTTCCGGGTCGACGCGGTACCGAGGCGGGGCGAAGATTTCCGCTTCACGCTTCCTTCTGCTGAGCGAGCTGTCTGGCCGCCAGCTGGTGAGGGAGCCCGAGGGCCATTGGTCCTCAGGGCGCCCACCTCTAAATGTCCTCCTCATGGCGGAGACTGCAGTCTTCCGAGACCCCTCGGCCCCTCCCCGCCCCTCCCCGCTTTTCTCCACCCCCGGAGGCCAACAGTAGCGAGTTACTGCAGTGACCACAACCTCCCAGGAGGAAAGCCCGCGGTTTCCAATCGGTGAAAGCAGCACCGCTGAGCCAAGTAAGAACTGTCAAGCCAAGCGACCACCGCCAAGCCTCACTGGTAACGGCAAGGCACGAGGCTAACGGCCAAGCCCTCGCGTGTGACGTCACCGCACTTGCTCAGGCTCTAGTGACATCACTGCACCTGTGCACACAGGCCCCCGCCTCCCGGAGAAAACTCCTTGGCCTACAGGTGGCGCTGCAGCTCCGGCGCCGGCCTGGGCTGGCGGGTCCTTCCGGGTGGCGGCGTTCAGCCTGCCTGTCGTAGGTGAGTGCTGCCTCACAGCGCCGCCGCGCACCTGCTCCGGCCTGGGCTGGCGGGTCCTTCCAGGTGGCGGCGTCCAGTCGGCCTGTCATCGGGGAGTGCCGCCTCACAGCGCCGCCACGCGCCTGCTCCTCGGCTTGTTAAGTTCACGCGTGCGGACCAGTTCCCGCCCCTGTGCCACCATCGCTTGGCATACCCCGGGCTAGCCACCGCAGCGGAGTTGCCCCAGAGTCATCGCTGCCAGGACACAAGCAGAGTCAGGCGGTTGGGTCAAAGCGAGCTGCCCGCCCCGCGGGAAGGGCCTGCCCGATGCCACTGCCCGTCCAGCTCCTACTCGGCTGATGCCCAAGCCAGGGGACCAGTTCTGGGCATTCCACTGCCTGGGGAGGGCCGAGCAGCGGCTCCCCGCTCTGAGCCGCAGCCGCCGCGCGCATCTGCCCAGGGGCCGTGCGGCTGGCGACCCGGTTGCGTCGGGGAATGCCAGGTGCTGCTGGGGTCACTCACCTCTAGTCCGTCCTGTCCCTGCAGCCCGCGAGCACTAGTGTCGGTCGGGCGCAGTGGCTCATGCCTGTAATCCCAGCACTTTGGGAGGCCAAGGCGAGGGGATCACTTGAGGTTAGGAGTTTGGGGCCAGCCTGCCCAACAAGGTGAAACCCCATCTCTACTAAAAATAGAAATATTAGTTGGGCATGGCGCACCTGTAATCATAGCTACTTGGGAGGCTGAGACAGGAGAATCACTTCAACCCAGTAGGTGGGGGGTCGAAGTGAGTCAAGATTGCACCACTGCACTTCAGCCCAGGTGACAGAGCAAGACTCCCTCTCAAAGAAAAGTGACAAAGGAGACTCTAGAAAGTACTCAAATACTAATTCTTGAGGACAGTGAAGATAGATAAAGCATTATGAAAAACAGATTTTTGTCACCGAAGCCTCGGGGCATTAGCCTAGGTCCTGCATTGCTCACCCACAGAAAGCCAATCACAGAAATGAGTATTGCCAAAGAAGAAGGCTTTAATCATGTGTTGCAGCCATGGAGATGGGAACTCAGTCTCAAATCCATCTCTGACCAACTAAAATTAGGGATTTGTAGTATAGCAAGGAAGAAATGTAATTACGTATAAGAAAACATGAACTAGGGAGGGGTAAGGAAGCAATCATTTAAAAACTATCTTCACCTTGCCTCCTCAATCTTGGCATGATTCCTCCTGTGAGTGGTTTCCAGGGTCTCGCCATTTAGTCACACATATGACATTGCACATATTGTGTGCACATCTGCACAGCTCAGCAGCATCCTGGGTAGGCCTTGAAAGGCAATCTTCATGAGCCTGTGGCCTCAGCAAGAAAGCTGGGAATGGGAAGAGGAGGAGCCAGGAGCCCAGTCCTCTGCGGAAAATTGCAACACGACCCACAAGAGCAGCTGTAGTGAAGACTGTGACCCAACAAGGAATACATGGATGAAGATGCTGGTTTGAAAACAGACTCAGTGTAAGCATGGCACTTTGAGAAAATATTAATGGTAAATGCCACCAAGGGAAAAAATCATCAGACAGAAACAAAATATATTTATTAGAAATAGTCGTTTATCATACACTCTCCTGTGAATAAAGACATCTAATAAGCATGTCATATCCTAACAGTGCTGGGTACAATCTAGTGTGCTCTTTATAGACACGAGGCCACAGATGTATCAACAGCATTCAACTAATGTAGGTAAAATTAGTATGCTACTCAGGATGCTACAGATTGAGCAAAACTCTAACTTGGGTTAGAGGAGTGAAATGCCCATTTGTAGCTATTCGAAATGCTTCTAAAAAGGCTGTGAGGTTATATCCTTCACTGCATGTCGCTGGTAGGTCATCTCAGAATGGCACTTGAGCTTTGGAAAAGTGAGAACTATTGCTGGACTTGGCAGGGGTTCTGCATCTAGGGGCGTGAGTCCTCCATCTCCACAAGCCGCCCCTCAGTGGAGAAGAGGAGGGGGAGACTAAGGGAGTCTCTGTGGGCAGCGGGGAAGAGAACACTGGAGAGATTCCTCACCACTGGATGGCTTACCCCTGGGGATGTGTGTTTTTATCTAACACTCACCAGCATCTACTTGGGTCGGTCTCTACAAAAGGTTTAAACAACAACTGAATGAAAAAGGGAAACAAAAGACTAATATTGTTTTTGAAATGAGAAGGGACTAGGACAAGAGAAGTTCCTGAGAATGTTACCCCCACAAGGCGGGGGCCACGGGCTACACTCAGACAGGAAAAATTCAATCCATGTTCGACGCAGAGAACAGTGACTTCTCACCTTGAAAAACTCCTCCACTCTACTGGGGCTTGCATGTTGCCGATGTCTTTTCATGTAAAATTTACACATTAAAAAAAGAATCTGCAGAACAACCAAAGAATTTGAAATGACTATGTACTGGCTGAGGGAAGATGGAAAGAAACGTGATTGTTGTGGCCTCTGAAAGTCTCAGGACAGAAACTGGGAATGGCATACTCTGCTAAAGAAAATGTAAGATGCTCACCTTGTTGTTTTTTGTTTTGTTCTGTGATGGAGTCTCACTCTGTTGCCCAGGCTGGAGTACAGTGGTGTGATCTTGGCTCACTGCAATCTCTACCTCCCAGGTTCAAGTGATTCTCCTGCCTCAGCCTTCCAAGTAACTGGCACCACCAGGCCCAGCTAATTTTTGTATTTTTAATAGAGACAGGATTTCACCATGTTGGCCAGGATGGTCTTGATCTCTTGACCTCGTGATTTGCCCATCTCGGCCTCCCAAAGTGCTGGGATTACTGGCATAAGTCACCACACTTGGCATATTGGTTTTTATTTATTTTAATTTTCATTTTCTTTTTTCTTTTAATTTTTGCTTGTGTGTTAGTTTTTAAAAAGCATACTGTCAACAGTAAAATAATAATAATAAAAGGCTGGGCACATCGGCTCACACCTGTAATCCTAGGACTTTGGGAGGCCAAGGCGAGTGGATCACCTGAGGTCAAGAGTTCAACACCAACCTAGCCAACATGGTGAAACCCCGTCTCTACTAAAAATACAAAAACTGGCCGGGAGTGGTGGCGGGTGCCTGTAATCCCAGCGACTTGGGAGGCTGAACCAGATGAATCGCTTGAACCCAGGAAGCAGAGATTTCAGTGAATGGAGATTGTGCCACTCTAGCCTGGGCAACAGAGGGAGACTTCGTCTCAATCAATCAATTAATAAAATTCGTCTGCACCCTTCCACTTCTCACGTCCACTGTGACATCACAGTAGCCACTGGTGACAGTTGGGAAGTGTATCCTTTCAGATGTTCATCTTTCCTCCACAGATTTTCTGGCCCAGCGGCTTGAGCCTGTCTGTGTCTCCATGTGAGATCATAGAATGCACGAAGTCAAATTACCTAGACATAGCAATAAGGCTCCGTGTTAACTTTGTGGTTCACAGTTCAGAGTAACAAACAGTGACCCAAATAGAGCAAGCAACGCTGCTGGGGCCGCTTTTGCCAGGTTGCCAACGTGGCACCGCCAACGGCCCCCTGCCTCCTGATGCAAGTCCTTGTGACTAGACCACCGCCTCGGTCCCAGCAGCAGACCCGGGCTCATACAACAAATTCTACATTCACTTTGATTGTTCAGCTGGAGCCCTCACTATTCCCATTCTGATGTGTGTGGCTTCAGCTTTTATCTGGGTGTGTGTATTCAACAGGAACCAAGTAGCCACTGGCCTGTTTCGCATGAGTCAGAACCCAGCGATTTCATGAAAACCTGGAGTGTGTGCGTGTTGAGATGGTTGGGAGAAACCGTTTTATGCACCAGCCACTACAGGCACCTGTGCCTTAGGCTTACAAACTTTCCAAGGATTAATAACACGCTTCGATCCTGAAAGAAAAAAAATGTATTACTAGCTCCAAAATACTAGAAGTGCAAAGTTGAAATTACTAAACATTTCTTTCAATGTATATGAAAACTGGCGATTCAGGAGTCAGAGGAGGACAGGAAGAGAGAGCATGCAGCCACGAAAGAAAGCTGGAAGGAATGAACTGGGAATCTGAGAAGTGAGCAGAGGGAGAGCGTTGCAGGATGGAGACAATCAGTGAATAGCAGGGCTCACAAATTCAGCCATGCCAGAGGGCAACAGGCAACAGGAATGAGTGAAATGTTCCGGTATGAACAGGGAACGGTGGAGACAGGGACACACAAGGGCCCACTCAGCAGGGAAAGACGCCGGTGAACTCTGAGCAACTGCTGGGAGATTCAGCTTCTGATTTCTTAAAAGAAGCAGAATTCAAGGTTTATGTAAAATTTCTAGGGTTTGTTTGATTTTTGAGACCCCAGCTCTGTATCGCCCAGGCTGGAGTGCAGTGGCGTGATCTCAGCTCACTGCAACCCCCACCTCCAGAGTTCAAAAGATTCTCCTGCCTCAGCCTTCTGAGCAGCGGGGATTACAGGCAACCACCACCACACCCGGCTAAATTTTGTGGTTTTTTAGTAGAGACAGTGTTTCACCGTCTTGGCCAGGCTGGTCTTGAAAGCCTGACCTCAAGTGATCCACCCGCCTCAGCCTCCCACAGTGCCGGGATGACAGGTGGGAACCCGGCACCCAACCTTTTGGTTACTGCTGTTGTTTTGAAACAACAGCACTCTGTTTTGAAACAGCACTCACTCTGTCACCCAGGCTGGAGCACACTGGTGCAATCACAGATCACCGCAGCCTTGACTTCCCAGGCTCAAGCGATCCTCCAGTCTCAGCCTCCCGAGTAGCTGGTAACACATGTGCATGCCACCTGCCCAGCTAATTTTTTAGAATTTTTTTGCTTTTGTGGGGGAAGGAGGGGTGCACATGTGGCCTCATTATGTTGTCCAGGCTGGTCACAAACTCTTAGGCTCAAGAGATCCTCCTGGCTCAGCCTCCCAAACTGTTAGGATTATGGGTGGGAGCCACTATGCCCAGCCACTTTTGTAATTATTGTCAATATTTTAAACATCAACAACTTTAATGTTCAAAAACACATTCCAGGCCAAAGTAACACACCAATAGGCCAGAGAATACGCAACTTCCAGTGAACTGAAAAGTGCTGCCCAGGCCCAGGACCCCATGAAAAGAAGTTTGAACACTGATGGACACAAAATATGTTATGTATTGTCAATTTCCGCAAAGACACATTTAAGCAACAAAATATACATTTGTCAACATTTTAGAATTTGTTTTGTTAACAATACAATGTGCTACCACAGCAATAAATTAAATGTACATTATTTACATGACATAGGCAGTTGGGGTCTAGAATCACCCGCTCACTAAGAGGAAATAAAGGGAAGTCATCATCCTGTGGAGCATCTCTTCCAAGCCACCGTCCTGAGGTTCTACCTAAGGTTCTTCACACAGGGGAATCTGCACGTTCACACGTCAGTGTGCCCCGAGCTGCAGTGTCCAAGGGGAGCACTCACGACAAGGAGGAGCCGCACACATACTAAGGGGCAGGAAGGGGGATTTACGAGTCCAAGCAGAAATGTCACAAAATCAAAGACGATGGCAATTCAATTCCAGTCTTCCAGACAAATGCCCCCCTCTCCAGAGCCAGTAAGGTGCAGGACAGAGCCACAGCCCCACAGCCTCTCACTCGGCAGGGCTCTGCTGCCCTTGGCCCTGGTGGGGCTGGTCTTCCTCCTGAAGGAGTACATGGCCCAGCTGAAGGGAGGGAGACATGGGATCAGGGTGGACAGGGGCTAGTAGTAAAACAGAGCTTGGTAAAAGAATACCCCAGCCAGCCCCGCCAGGCCGCAGGATCAGCCTTGGCAAACTTTACTGGCCTTCCCTGCCTTGATGATGGGTAGCTGGAGACTGGGGGGAGCTGAGGGGTCCTGAGCATGGCTGGCCAGCCTGGTCCCTGCTGGCTGCCTGTAGCCATGAGATCTACTCGAACCCCTGACTGCTCAAAACAGAGCTGTCTCTACTGACTTAGAAACCAATGAGAAAGGTAGTGTTTGCATTGGCACCTTCAAGGGTCTGGGAGGAAAGTGAGACAGGTGCTCGCCCAGGTTTTTATTGATCACCTTTGTGGAGAAATAAAGAGTTTTCTTGGACCACTTTTCCTCCTAATTCAGGAAAAGGGAGGCTGGGGGCTGGTAGGCAGCATCTTCTCCCTGGCCTCCACCCTCATTACACACTGGAGCTGAAGAACCAATCCCACCGAGGAACGTCACCCAGTCACCTTTTCTCCTCATTTCCTTCCATCCAAAGCCTGAGGGTCCTCACTGGAAAATCCAAGACTATCCCTCCTGATGAAAACAAGCAGAAAGAGAGGCCTCACCAGCATCCTTGACTGATCAGCCGCACATCAGAGCCAAATCACCAGCTAACTGTCTTCCCCAAAACCCAGGACCCCAGGAAACGCAGCCACATATTCAACCAAGCACATAGGTCATGCAGAGGAAGGGATCCTGGGTTGAGGGTTCTAATCCCAGCTTTGCCACCAGCCAGCTGTGTGACCTTAAGCATGTCATTCCCCTCATTTGGGCTAAGATTTCTCATCTGGACAGTGACATTGCTGGCTGAGGCACTAAAAGGAGTCAGAGGCTTGGGTGTTGAGATAATGCTGACAAAGCTGAACCACTGACTATTTTTCAAGAAACATTTTTACCTTCATTGGCACAGACAGAAACTCCCATTAAGACCTTTTGTCTCTAGCTTTTCTGCACCTGTTTTAAGCGTCAACTGAGCTGGAGGCAATGGCTGGGCCCGCAGTGCCTGGAAAGCAGTTTCTTCAGTGGGTCAGGCAGTTCCCAGAGCCAGACATGTCCCGGACAACACCCCCTTGTGGACATCACAGTGGAAATCCCTCAAATACCATCCTGAGCACCATCTAAAGGAGCCTCGTCGCAAGAGCCAGTGAGGTCTGAGCAAATCTCCAAGCCCCAAGACTGGGTGCAGCATAAAAGACATTTTTGATCAGAGCAGATGTAGGGGAGCATGGGGGAAGCAGGCCCCCAGGAACCCGAGCTGCCTGTCCCATGGGCCAGAGGAGGGAGGGGAGACTGGGCCATCCCTGTTCTCCTCCTCCCTCTGAGCACCGGCAGCCTGGGATGGAGTCACAGGATGGAGCTTCTAGAGACAGTGACACAGGACCAGAGGGAAGGGCCCTTTGGGGTCCTGCTCAGAGCACTCCAAAAGCAAACCAGAGGTAGAGGCTCCATCTCAGGTCTGTGCTTCTCTGGGGCCACCCAGCCATCCTGCCTACCAGCTCAGAGGGACAAAGCCCTCCCAGGAGGCAGCAGGCAGCAAGGGCCAGCCAGCGTCCCTCCACAGCCCATCACACTGAAAGCCGCTCTGCAGGCTTGCTTTACCTGGAGGATGCCCACCTTAACCCCAACCCAGGCCCACTAGCAAAGAAGTCCAGGGCCTGCAGGCTCGGAAGGAAGAAGCCGAGGAGATGTCCTGGAGGTGAGCTGGCTGCCTCAGCAAGGGAGCTCTGCTGAGCATGTGGGTCATGGGGTCTGAAACACATCCAGATGGGGCCCAGGTTGCAGGAACCTTTCAGATGTGACAGCTGCCTCAGACCCCAGCCGGAGAGGTGAATAGGATTGGGGGTTGAGCCCCAGATGCAGTCGCTGAAGGTCACAGTAGTTGGAAAAGGCCCCAAGGCCATGCTAGGCCCCCCAAGACTCCAGGGGCATATGCGACTGAGGGACACTGGGCCCCTTCCCCCTACATGGACCCGATCAGAACCCGCAAGCCTTCCCTACCTCACTCTCCCCTCGTGTAAGTGGGGAGGGGAAATGACTGGTCTTCCTGGAATGTCTCCTGCCAGCAGAGACCTGAGCCCTGGCCTGGCTCTCAACCAACACAGCAGCTTCCCAGCACGGCTCCTTCGCTCTCCCTGAATTCCTTCTCCCTCCTGGCCTCCCGCCCCTTTGTGGAAGAAATATCTGCTCAAGGGGAAGAGACTGCCTCAGGGCTTCCCCCACAGTAGCCATAATCAGGGGCCTGTGAGAAGCTGGGCAGGACACAAAGTGCCTGCCACCATCCAGGAAACGTGCGGTGTGGCCCTGGCCCATCCAGCTGTCTCTGAGCTTGAACTGGCTGGAGCCCTGCTCATGGAACCCTGGCAGCTGGGGAGGCAGCCCCGGGCCTACATCAGCAGATGGGAAAGACGCTCAGCACAAAAGCAAAGATGGACATTTTGGAGATCCAGAGATACAGGGGCAATAGCGCCGACTTTTATCAGGATGGCCTCAAGGACGCTCTGAGTCTTGGCTCCTGGGAGCATGACGCTGCCACCACCAAGAGCGTTCCTGGTGGTAAAGCCAGGAAGGCACTGCCCTGTGGCAAAGGCCCTCGCCGGGCTCTAACCCCACCCTGAACGCAGTCTCTGAGGCAGATCAGCTCCCAGTCACTGCCGAGCTTCCCCCACGCCCCCGCTCCTCCCTGCCCAACTCTTTTCCTCTCCAGGCTGAACAAGATGACAAAGGACCTGGACATCACACTGGGAGGTCAGGAAGGAGGAACCTGAGGAAGGAGGCCTCGTCCAGAGACAGGAGGTACTTGGAGGGCATGTCGGTGGCGGCACGGGCAGGGCTGTGACCACCTGGTACACCCAGACTGACGGCTGGTCTGTGGGCAGGTGGCTGGTGGGGTGGCGGGCCTGGGGCTGTCGGGGTCGTGTTCGACACTCCCAAACTGCTGGAACAGGAGCCTTCTCCAGGCAGAACAGGGCTTCCCTGAGGACACAAGGAGAGGGGGACGATGAGCCAACATTCCATACAGGAAGGAAGGGACAGTGCAGATGTCGGGAGGAAGAGGTGGGGAACGTGCCAGCCTGTGGCTGCAGCTCAGTGGAGACCTTAGGACCAGGAGGGTGCGTCCTGTATCAGGGGGCCCCACCTTTCGCAGCCAAGAAGCCGTGCCTCACCACGGCTTTGGTGGGCAGTGGCATGTGAAGTGCATGATGGAGGCAGAGGGAAGGTCCACATGCCCATTTTTCTTCTGCTTTTCATAAATCAGTTTGAATATAAGGTGGGTTCGGCCATGCCCCTCCCCTCAGCTCCAGCGCTGACTCCTACCCCTGGAGCCCCATGTGGGGAGAGGGCTGGGGCTCAGATGGGCCTCTGGGGACTTCCCCAGCAGGCATCCAGGCCGTGATGGTAGCGAGCTGGACCCATGGCCGCTCTGCTGAAACCACATGCCCCCTCAAAGCAGGCAGGAGCAGAGGCCTCCTGGGGTGGCTCCTCACAGTGCTGACTGCCAGGGGCATCTCCTGGTGAGGAGGAGAGCACACCCAGCCCAGGGCCTCCGCCAAAGACACAAGAAGGGGACAGCTGCCTGAGGGCAGGGATGCCAGGGAGCACTCCCAGGAATTCCTCCCTCCAGGGGCAGAAGCAGACGTGGCTACTCCCCTTCGGCCTGTAGAAACCAGAGTCCATCAGTGGCAGGGAGACCTAGCTAGTACGTCTGGTCCAGTATTACTGGGAACCCCCTTCCCATCTCCACACAGGCCACCTGCCCCTCTTTCCCCATCACAGGTCTTTAGGGGTGAGGCAGCGTTTTGGACCTCCCTAGCTGGCAGCATCTCTCTGGCCATTCTGAGGCTACAGGCCACTTGAACCCTGATCTAAAAGGAACACACCTCCCGACTCATGACCACAGAGGGACAAACATTCACTTAACCCACCTTGGACAGGCAAAGGACTCCTGCTTCACATTAGTGACCCTGTTTCAACAAAAACCCATACAGGAGTTTCAGTAACCAGACAACACAGTCCCCTTTCACCGCAGTGTCTCTGCACTCAGCTCCTGACAGTCTGGTGAGCTCAGGAAGGGACCAGCATTTCACACCTCACATGTGAGCCTGGCTGTGTCCAGAGGTGAAGCTCTAATTCAGCAGTTGTGGCAAAGGTGGCCGGGACCCCTGAGCCAACACCTGTGCCTCCTGGGGCCAGACCTCCCCAGAACTTCCCCTGCCTCCTATGGGGAGCCCCCTCTGACGTGTCTGAACCCTTCTCCTCTGGCCTGCAGAAGGGCGGCTGCCTTCTATGTGGGGGGTGGGAGGCGTTCACAGCATTCTTACCGCACCAGAGCTGGCATGGCTGAGCTTGTCAAAGCAGAATTTCAGGTTCGATCTTGGGGAGTTTCTGCTTTTGGCATCTAAGAAAAAGAATGCCCATGAAAGGGGTGGTGGAGCTATACAGGGAAGGGGGCCTCCTGCCCCCCACCAGAACCAGCACTCCAGATGACCTGTACCAGTCCATAAGAGCCAACTCCTGGATTACAGAAATGTGGGGAGTGGGTTGTTCAACACAGGCCATTTTGTAAAGTTGAATTACATAAGCTTAGAATTCAATAAATTATATTCAACAGATGTAATAAATACTTGAAATTCATCACTTCCTAGTTATTTTTCTGTTTTATGATTACCTATGCTCTTATGTCTTTCTTATCCACATGGTAGAAACACCCTAAAGACGGTGGCTACAGTGTATCTTCTTTCCAATTCCGTTCAAGGATGTCACATCAGCAGCTTGAGATCAGCCACGATAGGTATATTTACACCACAGAAATTGGCACATGCTATAAATCATGGCTTGATTTATTGTTTTGTAGTCTAGACTTAAGGAACTAATAGAAAAAAAGTATGTACATTAAACTTCAAAACGTGTGTCTGCAGGCATGACATTGTGAACAGAACAAAAGAAAACTGAGTCAGTATCCTTCCAGGGTTTGAAAACTGTTCTAGGATACAGCAAAGAAATTACTTGTGTCGCACTGATCAATGAAGTTCTCTTAATATGAAATACTCATGACCGGGTGCAGTGGCTCACGCCTATAATCCCAGCACTTTGGGAGGCCAAGGTAGGTGGATCACCTGAGGTCAGGAGTTCAAGACCAGCCTGGCCAACATGGTGAAACCCCGTCTCTACTAAAAATACAAAAATTAACCAGGCACGGTAGCGCTTGCCTGTAATCCCAGTTACTTGGGAGGTTGAGGCAGGAGACTTGCTTAAATCCGGGAGGCGGAGGTTACAGTGAGCCAAGATTGTGCCACTGTACTCCAGCCTGGGTGACACAGTGAGACTCCATCTCAAAAAAAAAGAAAAAAATATATATATACACACATATATAGAAAATCTATATAAAATACTCATTAACATGGTAATATCAGTCCACATTCATGTCCGAATTACACATATCCATCACCTGCAGACTTAAGTTGGCTACAGATGGAAAGGTTAGGCAGATGCCAATAAAGCATTTTGTGAGAGTCAATTGGACATAACGGGATTTATAGTGGAGAACATCATCTATCTGCTGTTTGTACACTGTATTTCACATCCATCATATAGTAAGATTCAGTAAGTGAGCATGTGAGTGGTAGCAGAGCCAGCTATAAACGCTCCACTAGGCCCCACTGGCAGGAGGGCCACTGGAGTTTCTGGCTTTCCTCTGGCCAAGGGTATCAAAAGCTCAGCTCAGCACAGCCTTCCTGGAAGCTGCTGACTGGTGCATGGTGCTTCGAATCGAGGCGGTCCAGCCAGGGCTGTGATGCCTCTTTGTGTCACCTGTCAGTCCTCTTCTGGGCCCCAGGAAGCCCAGGGATGAAATGACCAATGATCAGATATCTGAGGTTATGGATGGATACACGTCAGGCCCTCCCAGGCCACCTCTCTCCCCAGACTCAGCCCAATAGCAGAAAACAGGTTCCCGGATCTCCCCAAGCCCACCCTCATCCTGGAGGAACCAAGCACATCTTACATGGGGCTGGGGGTTAAATACTGTGTGGAGAAAAGGTGTGTAAGAAGCAGCATCACTGTGGGGAGCAGGAAGCACCGGCCCAGAGTCCCCAGAAGGGACTGTCCAAGGTCCCTTCTGCCTCTGCTGACCTTCAGCAACTTGCAGAGACTCTATCATTCCTTCACTCAAAACCTTCCTTACTTGGATATTTATTTAACACCAAGTGGGAGCCAGGCTTGGTTACAGATTCTTTCATTCATTCCAATACTTAAGTTTTTTTTTTTGAGATGAAGTCTCACCGAAGCTGGAGTGCAGTGGCTCAATCTCGGCTCACTGCAACCTCTGTCTCCCGGATTCAAGCAATTCTCCTGCCTCAGCCTCCTGAGTAGCTGGGACTGCAGGCGCCTGCCACCACGCCCAGCTAATTTTTTGAATTTTTAGTAGAGATGAGGTTTCACTATCTTGGCCAGGCTGGTCTTGAACTCCTGACCTCATGATCCACCTGCCTTGGCTTCCCAAAGTGCTGAGATTACAGGTGTGAGTCACCATGCCCGGCCTTAATTAAAAAAGAAAAATCCAGGGAATTTGTATTACTACCCCCCTTTACAGCTGAGGCTCAGAGAGGTGGACCTGTCAATCCCACAACTGGGATTCGAACCCAGCTCTGCAGCTGCCTGACCGCAGGGGGCTGAATGAGAGGAGGCATGTGACCTCCTCCACTCACTGAGAAACACGAGGGCAGAGGGCCACTGGCTGTGGAATCACTATCTTCCCTTTATCTCTGACACTGCAAGTTCTCTTTGCAACACCCCTTCACCGTGTGGACCCCAGAAACATTTTGGCTTCAGCCACCCTGATGGCCCATAGGCCCTTCCTGTGTCTCTATCATTGAGATTAGAGTTTCTCAACCAAATGACATTTGGGGTCGGAGAATTCTTTGGCTAATGTGGTTGCAGGCTGACATGTACATTGCTCAGCTGCTTCTCTGACCTCTGCCCACTAGATGCCAGTAGCATCCTTCCTAAATCGTGAAAATAAAAAATGTGTCTAGACATTGCCAGACCTCCACAGGAGAGCAAGACTGCCCTGTCTCGTTCCCACTCCTTAACGAACACCGAGGTTACCAGTCCCATGCCTCTTACAAGCATGAGCACCTTTAATCTTCATACAACCAGCCCTCTGAGGCAGACACTACTATTCCCCTCCCTTCATTTTCTGCTTGGAGAGAAACTGAGTCACAGAATGGCTCGGTGACTTGCCCAGTATCATGTCTAGTGAGCAGCAGACCCAAGATTTGGACCCAGGCTCAGAGTCCTGTGCTCTCCCCATGCTCAGCCGCCCTCACAAGAGCAGGAACCCACAGCATCTGCCCAGCAGTGCCCCCCATGAAGCCCCCAGATGCTGGCCCCCCACCTTCTCCCCAGAGCTGGCTCCCCTACTCTGCCCAGCTGCAGGGATCACAGAACCCCAAATCCAGACTCCTGCTCTCTCTGAAGTCCCGCTACTGAGCCCCTACATTGTATCACCTTGGTACCTCCCGAACCCCAGCGCTCTGCCACAGCCTGGTTCCCCTCCTGTCCCCTCTCCTCCTTCCTCTCTGTTCCTGCTCCCCACTAACCCATTCTCTACCCAGCAGCTGCAGCAACCAAACTGGTCTTTCTGAACTCCAGACAGTGCTTCCCTACTTAAGAATCTTCAAATACTGAAGAGTCTCCAACAGCAGCTTCCAGCCAGAGAACAAATCCTCACCAGGGTCTTGGGGATGACCCTGGCCTGCCAACGCTCCAGCCTGTCTCCTGCCTGGCTCTGTGGACTCTAGCTGCTGCGAATCACGTGCAGGTCCAGAATGCCTGCTCTCTCATCGCTTCTGGGCCTTTCCACCTGCTGTTCCCTCCCCTGCAGCCCTTCCCCCTCTTGTGTTATCAAGACCCCCACCAGGACAGAGGGGCCCTCAAGCTCTGGCAGGTGGGGAGGGTGGCCAGTGGCAAGTGATCAGCTTCCTCATCACCAATCCCGACTCCTCCACTATGGGATCTCATCAGGGCAACTACCTGTGGGGGTCTGTCCTGCAGACCCTGACCCAGTGACAGATAAATTAAGTGCACTGACACACAGATAGTTACGCTTTCCCAGTTTGGCTGAGGGTCCCTGTGACTTACAGGCACCCTGTGGAGTGCTGTAAACAGTTGCAACTGCTGGCCCTCACTAGCTAGAAAGACTTGCATTTATTAATAAAGTTTAATTGAGAAAGGCTTGGGTCAACAACACTAGAGTGAAGAGTAAAGCACAGATTCCGACACCCAAAGCAAACACCATTAGTGGATATCTTGGTCATCCTCCCCGAGAGCACCATCTGGCTCAAAGGTTAGTTTTAAGACCACATGAGTAAACAAGTTAGTTAGGTAAACTCCCCCACATACCGTGGCTATTTGCTTTACTTATTAACTCAATGTAAGGGGGATTTAGGCTGCCTTCAGCTGAAACTTCTACTGAAACTATGAAAAAACCTTTAGGCCTTCCAAAAGAGTTTGAGACTATATTCTGTAACTTTCTCTACTATTTTTCCCTTAGTATTTTTGCCACCGCCCTGAGTGAATTCCCACAGGGTCTCCTGCAAGGCTGTCACCTCTCTGTGCCTCAGTTTCACACTCTCTGTGTAGGGAGGTTAGGAACTTAGGCTGTGAAGGCCAATGAACAGATGGAGAGAGCTCACAGAGTGGGGCCCTCGCAGTGGGGAGGAGGGCCGAAGACCAGATAATTTGGCGTGGGTGGCCAACTGTGGACAGGGCACAGCCTGCCCTCCTGGTGATTGCACACATACCACCCATGCCACTGACCTGTGGGACTCCTGCTCATGATGATCAGGGTGGCAGCTGCTCCCAGGCTGGGGCTCTCGCTGCTCAAGGACAGGCTGTAGACAAACACCTCCTGCTTGAAGGGTGACGTTGTGGACGGCTGGCTGCTCTGAGGAGAGAGACCAGGTGAGCGAGGTCAGCCCACCCTCGGTAGCCACATTACACATGCCTGAGATAGCACCCACAAGCCCAGGACGGCCACTGCCTCCCACTCCCCACCTGCTCTTTTCTTTCCTACTGACTTCAACCCTGGTTCTAAGCTTTCCTGCTCCAAGAAGGACCTTTGACCCAGCCTCCTGGGCCGGCGCTAGTCATTCAGCACTCCAGCCAGGAGCCCCAAGGCAGGGGCACCGTCAGGTCTGGCCCCTGCCCTCTGCTGCTGCTGCCATGTCACTCCAAGAGGGAACCCCTCACCCATGGTGCCCAAGGGATGGTGATGGCCGACGAGCCCACCTCTCGTTTCCATTCTTCCCCTTTCCTCTGCAAAGACTGGAGTGGGCTGGATCCACAGTGCCTCTAATGCAAGGAGGGTGGCTGGCCAGCATCCAGAGTGCCTGCCTAATGGTAGATGGGCACACCTACCCCACCGTCACCTTCCTCCATGGCCTCACCCTCCCCAGCGGTGCTGCTGACACTGCTGGTGCTGGAGGAGGAGCGGGAGATGTCACAGCCATTCTCCTTCAATTTCATAAAGCGCCTGCAGGGAACAGGAAGCAAAGCTGGCCCTGGTGGCACGTGAGAGCCCTCCACCCCCAGGTCCTCCCGGGATCGGACAGGGCAACCCCCGTGGAGATCTG